CAGAGAACAGCAAAGTAACTGTAGACTTCTTAGCTTTGACATAAACAATCAAAATAGGCAAGTGGCACTACCACACTAAAAGTCAGCCATTTTGAGAAAAACGTCACTTCCGGTCAGAAATAAGAAATCAGGCTTGGCTGCCCGACTGATCATATGAAACCGCTCTATATTGAGGAGAGGAGGAGGTCAGGAGGAATGGTCAGTTTGAAGGAGAGAGAAGAGTAGTATATCTTCTCTTTTCTTTTAATATCTCCTTGTAATGGCTGCCAATAGCTCCTTAAATCATTCATTCTCTCTATTTAGAGATTTTATTTCTGATAGCCCGTTTTCTAGAGGAGAGCTCTTGTAGGAGAGCGGCTAAGGTAGGACAAAGACGGGCGAGTCTTTTCTGTTTGTTTTTGAAGAGAAGAGACACGCCATTACACGTGGCCACTCATTCTTGTTCTTTCTCTATCTTGTTACAGGTACTGATAGAAGAGTTGGAAGAAAAGGAGGTGAAAGGAAAGAGAGAGAAGAATCCTTCTCTTTCCTGAGCTCTGGGAAAGATGGAGAGATAGAGAAGGCTTTGGCCGTCTTTCTCTCTAGAGCGCCATCTTGTCCCCCAACCTTGTACTGTAAAAGTGGTGCCATTGGCCACTGAAGCTTATTTTGGTGTATCTATTGTTACTAATGTGTCTCTCTTTGTCTCTCTCCTTCTCTTTATCCACTAGTTGTTGTTTAAAGGTAAGAAATGGAGCGGAGAAGAGACTTATTAACTTTTGAGGAATTTGTAAGAGGAATTTTCCTCAAAAGTTAACTTTTGAGGAAATTGTAAGTGTGAAACGTGCATATTTAATTAGTGGGTGTGGTCAATAATTAATTATTAATGAACCCATTCTCTCTCTCTAGTCTAAGAGAAATGTCCACATATCCTCAGATTATTTATTATTATTGTGTAATGAGTTGTGCTCTCAGTTGGAGTCATCAGGTTCCATTAGAAGAGGAGGAGGGGGAGGTCATTCACTAATTGGGAATGAGATATCATCATTTATTTATAATAATAATAATTATAATAATGGTGAGATTAGTAATATAGTTTTGGTGATTGAAAATATGCTCCATTTTCTGATTCTCTCTCTCTCTCAGTTAGTTCTAGTTTATTAAAGTTAACTAATCAAAAACATGATTTCACAACTGATCACTTACAAAAAGACAGCACACTACACCTCTGTAAGTTTATTTCTACCATGCTTGTTTTGAATTGACCAATCAGATTGCATTATATGAGGTGTCTAAATCACTTATAATACCCCGGGAAAATATTTAGAAACCTCCGGGAAATTATTTAGATACTTCTGCCAAAGTTTGGGAAATTTTAGGAATAAAAATGATGACAGCAATAATAGTAATGTTATTTTTGAATTGTTATGTGTATGTTTGTGCAGTTATTAAAGCTGAAGTGTCTGTCTTCATCTAGAGATATGTTTTGTGCTTTTGGAGGATGAGGTGAATTGGTATATCGTCACTAGCTACTGCTGTTTTTGTTTGTAATAATAATATTATTGAGGAAACGTCTTCTGGCATTTTGTTGATCTGAAATGTGCTTATAAATTCGTACACCATCCGTGCTTCTGTGACCTGTTCTTTTCATGATTAATTGTTCATCAACACCAGCTTGAAATAGTCTAGTAGCAGCAGTCATGCCGCGAAGTGAGTGGTTTGTTTGTAACCATCGATTCCCCAGTTGCTGCAGCAAACATTTTAAACAGTATTTCTCCATTAAGAAGAGTGGCCTGGTTGGAGCTTCTCCAAATCTTTCATTCTTTCCTTGCACCAGTCATTCAGAATATTTTCTACCCATTATATTGCTTTTTTAGTTGTGCATGGCGCACAGTGCTGTTGTGCATCTTTAAATCCTTGTCCGTTGCGAAACTTAAACAAGATGGTATATAGCACTAATGAAGTAGGCGGGGCAGTCATAAAATGATGAGATAGGCGTTTCCAATTCCAGAGCTATCAATGGCGGCTGTGTTAGTCGCATCTTTTGAGAACAGATGAGCATGTCTACCTAGTTGCTTTTCCATTCTAGTGCGTGACTTAAAATGAATTGGTTGCTAATGGTAAGGATTTTTATACTTTTTGTGTATCCTAGCTACAAGAAATGCATCTAATCTGATTGGACGCATGGTAGAACACGGTTATACACCTCGGTCTCGGTTTTTATGGCATTTATTGACCTCGGGACTGCGTCCCTCGGTCAATAGATCCCATAGAAACCTCGACCTCGGTGTATAACCTATACTTATTATTATTATTATTATTATTATTATTATTATTATTATTATGAACTATCTAGATTATACAAAGCTTATGCTGCTGCTTCCTCACTGGAAGGGGTTGCACTTGCAGCTGCTTGTATAATGCCTACTCTGCTCCTCCAGAATCCGTCTCCTAAATCTAAGTCGAGAGACCACATAACTTATCTGGAGAGGCGGTTAAACTCCTGGGAGAAAGGTGACATGCTAGCTCTGGTGGAGGAAGGTCGTTCAATACAGCGCCAGTTCAAGCCCCGACCTACAACTTGGAAGGCTCAAGTGAATCTTGCTAATCGCTTTGCAAAGCTAATGTTTAAAGGTGATGTTGCTGGTGCTATCCGTATGTTGTCCTCTACCTCTTCTGGTGGTGTCTTACATGTGCAGGAGCAACTGGACTCCACTTCGGGGGACCCTGCCACGGTGCTTGATGCCCTGAAGCAGAAACATCCCCCTCCCCAACCCACTTTTAGTCAGGCTGTTATTCCAGGGGAACCTCCTCTCCCACCTCATCCTGCCTTCTATGATTGCCTGACTGCAGATACCATTAGACAGGCTGCACTTCGGACCAAGGGGTCTGCTGGTCCCTCGGGCCTTAGTGCTTGGCATTGGCGCAGGATTTGCACCTCTTTCAAGACCGCCTCTTCTGATCTCTGTCACTCTCTGGCCCTTGTCTGCCGCCGTTTGTGTACTACTTATGTGGATCCTAAAGGACTTGCTCCACTTTTGGTGTGTCGCTTAATTGCCCTAAACAAGTGCCCAGGGGTTCGCCCCATTGGCGTTTGTGAGACTGTGAGACAAGTCATCTCAAAGGCCATCCTGATGGTCACAAAGGATGATCTTCGTGAGGCTGCTGGTGCACTACAACTCTGTGCTGGACAGACTTTAGGTATTGAGGCCGCCATCCATGCTGTTCATTCTATCTTTTCTGCTGTGGAGTCGGAGGCTATCCTACTAGTTGACGCTTCCAATGCCTTTAATTCCTTAAACAGACAGGTGGCCCTCAGGAATGTTAGACATCTTTGTCCACCGATTGCTACCGTATTGATTAACACTTACCGTGTTTCCTCTGAACTCTTGGTTGACAATCAGGTCCTATGGTCTCGAGAGGGTACCACATAAGGTGACCCTTTCGCTATGCCATTTTATGCTCTGGCCACACTCCCACTTATACGCTCTCTCCCTCTCCCTGCCTCCTTACATCACATCTGGTATGCCGATGATGCCTCTGCCTGTGGCAAGATATCTGACATATATTCCTGGTGGTCCACACTTGTGAACAAAGGTCCTCTTTATGGGTATTTTCCCAACTCATCCAAAACATTTTTGGTCGTGAAGAAGGATCACCTTGATACTGCCAGGGCTGTTTTCCGTGATTCTGATATTCAAATTACCACAACCGGGAGACCTCTATTAGGTGCTGCTATTGGCTCTGAGGAATTTGTTGTGAGTTTTATTAAAGAGAAAGTTGCTGTTTGGTTGTCTGAACTATCCACACTCGCATCTTTTGCTGAGTCTCAGCCACATGCAGCATACTGTACATTCATCCATGGATTTGTCCATAAATTTAATTTCATTTGCCGTGTCCAACCTGATATTAGCACCCTGCTACAACCAATAGAAGACTTTGTTACTCAGCGTCTCATTCCTGTTCTCATAGGGCAACCTCCACTTGGTGACATTGAGAGAGACCTGATTGCCCTACCAGTGAGATTTGGAGGTCTGGGTTTACCTGTGATAACCAAGCGTGCTGACTCTGAATTTGAGGCATCTAGTGAGATCTGTCAACCACTTAGTGACATTATCGTAAATAAGAAGGACTGTATGGGACCAGAGGGTGATCCTATCCTTGATCAACTTGAAGCCAAATCATCCGTCATAAAGAAGAAGAAGGCCCGTCTAGACCAATTATCCTCTACTCTTCATGACCAACTCCCTCCATCCCTTAAACTGGCAAT